ATAAAGAAAGTGGTGGTACTTTATTTACTTTGAGCAAGTGAACGTCATGTTCACAAGATAATTAATCCACCAGATAATTCAGAGGTGGTCTGTTCGGTAAATTTTACTCCAGGAGCTGCGAGGCTTGTTTTCAAGCTTCAGACTGAACTGAAGCAGCGGCTGCTGACGTCATTATGCTCGTGATGCTGCGTTCATGACAAGCATGGAAAACTCACCACTCTTGTGCCAATACGGTCACAATGATGCATTTACTGTAGGTACTGAAATGGAATTGCATGAACATTCACGTGGTGGTTATGTAATTGGAATTGCATGAACATTCACGTGGTGGTTATGTAATACAGKGAATCGATAATAAAAAATCTGAGTCGACAAATTTACATAATCGACGTCATCGATTATTTCAACTAATCGGTGCAGCCCTAGTGGCAACCCATTTGTTGATAGGGACCTTTCTTATGCCTACATGCAGCCAAGCACCAAAATTGAAGTCTATACCTCCCTTATTGTTCAAGTTATCCAGCTCACAAGAACGATGGTACTACCAGGTCCCCTTTTGGCAACGCAAAGGAGGACAAAAATCCTAATCCAAGCTGAAATTTATAGCTACAGATCATTTTATCACCCCAGGAACAGACACTTGGTTAATGCTTAACATGTCTTCATTGCCCCAACAAGTAATGTTTTTAAAGCTGGAGCTTGTGGGAAAAAAATAATCGTTCAAAAAAAAAAAAAAGGTAGCCTAATCCAGGACGGTTTAGTTTTTGCCCAAAGACAGTTAACATACGCAGTTAAATAACGCTGTGTGTGAAATATATTGTCAATTGCAGTTGATGGACTAATGTCGGTCAATGATCACCCATCCCTACTGTCTAAACTCTCCTGGGGGTCTGGGGCGGGTTCAGGTGATGATTCACTATGGCGTCTTCACCTGCGGCAGTAAATTGGTAATGTTACAACACATAAAGACATTTATTATTTCATGACATGTCATGACCTTCAAGAGAGGGTGAGCAGTTGTGTTGGGGGAGACGTGTCCATCATAGATAATGGTAGGTGAAAAACTGTTGTGGCCAAGTGAGGTACAAGTTCTGAGGCTTTCAACCAATTCAGAGTCCACCATTCTGTTTTTTGTTACATTTAGCAAAAGGAAAAGACCAACGTGTGAGACTCAAAGTCCTGATCTGAAGATCACTGATCTCAGAGCCTTGATACACAAGTAAGGTCTGTGTTTCCTGGTTTACCTCCTTTGTAGAGCTCCGTGTGCAGGTACGCCAGGCCCCGGGTGACGGAGTGAGCCAGGCGGCAGCTGCTGACCCAGTCGTTGGTCTGGAGGCTCAGGTAGCGACTCAAAGACCCCTGAGGGCGACAGGTGTGGAGTCAGAGAAGAAGTCAGGTCAACAAGTCTGCTGAGCCTCATTCAAATAAAGTCGTTTGATAAATGTTTACAAACAGAATCTAATCAGGATTTGAAGAGTGACTTCCCAGTTCTACTCTGAGAAGAGTAAGAGAAGAGGAGGAGGAAGATCAAGGAGGAAAAGAATAAAATAAGAAAAAAAGAGAAAGAAAAGAGGAAGACTAAAAAGACAGAAAAAAATAAGAATAAGTA